GCTTTTACACCCGAATGAGATGTGCTGAAACGGTGCAGCACCGGTTCTTCTGTGCTCTACAAAAGTCCTATATGATTTGTATTGTTATTTTGCAAGTATTATTGATGCTGTTTTCAAAGTAGCACACATTTTTTGTCCGTTTTTATGCGTTTTGTGCTGTGCAACAACTGCACAAAACGCATATTGTTACTGGGTTGTCTGTTTGTGTTTGTACGTATATGTGCGTGTGTGAGTGTGTGTGTGTTTGTTTGTGTGTGTGTGTGTGTGTGTGTGTGTGTTCGACGCATCTTGTTATATACTATGTCAATGCAAAAACGCATATTGTTAGTTCTTGCTGGCTTTTCGCAGAAATTCTTCGAGACAAGCGAAGCAAAAACACTCGACTTGCACGGGAGTAATGCTACTTGCCACAAAACACTACTTTTCAAAAAAGATGGGGGTAAGATGCAGCTAAAATGCAGCGAATATTAAAAAAAAAAAAAAACGAATAGATTTAGTTCAATGTGAAAATTTAAGCGAATGAATCAAAGCTAGGAACAGAGACCCACTCTGGCCATGGAAAGCTAAACAGGAATATGCAGAAACCAGTTTTAAAATTAGAAACCAAAACAACTTTAATTGTTTAGCTTAGCGAAATCGGCGGATACCTTTCTTTCGGCTCTCTTCCGGATATCGACGTGTTTCATCCAGATCAACTCTTCCGCTAGTTTTCACCGTTGATTCTCGGTAATATGAAGATTCACGCTCAATTTTTTCCACTGATTTCCAACTTTTTGGTAGGCGTTCCAGTTCTTCGGATCTTTCCAGTACTTTACTTCGTTGGAACGGTGCTTTTTGTTGTCGATCAGCTGTAATATCAGATTTGGTTCGATCATAGGATTCAGCAGCCGCTGAAACATCGGCGACAGCACCGGGCCCTTTGGGAGTTTCCGGTAAATCTTTCTCATGTCTCAGGCGTCCATTGGAACGAAATTTCTCCGGATCAAACGTACTTCTGGTATATTCACCGCCAGAAATCGGTAGTTCTCGACTATCATCACTTCGAATATTTTCACGTGAGTGATGATGATAACGTTCATAAGTTGTTGTTACTCGCTCACCCGATTTTGCGGGTTCCTCACCGAAATACCGTAGCGGTGCTTGTTGCTGTTGTTTGCTATCACCAGTGCCGTACTGCCGTACACTGTAGCTACTGGATTCCAGGTCACGATATTCGCCCGATGGTTTGGTACCATAGCTACGACTATCCGTTACAAAACCACTGCTATCCAGTTGATCGTAGGATTTCGCCCGTTCTTTGATTTCGTGACGTTTCCCGGCCGGTGATGTGTACGGTCGAGGAGTATCGACAACAGATGGATAGCTACGTGATTCGCCATGCAGCTGCTGTTCACGGGTGGTGCGTGTTCCGGGTGATGTGGTAGTACCAAAACGTGTTTCGACGCCAGGTTTCGGCGCTTCAAATGTTCTCGTTTCTGTATATGTTGTTGGCGTAGCACCACGTTCATCGTGCGGTAAATTTGTTAGCGTTCCTTTTGCATATTCATAGGTTCGAGCTGGTGAAATATTACTGAAACGTGTTTCGGCTGTATAAGTCGATGTTACGGTACCTCGTCCATCATCTGCAAAATAAATTAGCGCGAAAAATTTCAGAAAAAATATCAAACAATAATTTGAAATAATGAAATTTACATAAAACACAAGAAACTTACATACAACACACAAACACACACATGCTCATAAAACTCACATACAAAAGAGATTTATACACAAACACAGATACACACTAGCGCGCACACAAACATGCTCATACGTACACACACACGCACAAATACAAATGTGTATACAGATAAAGACAGATATATGCAAACTTAAAAACAAAATACACATGCACACACACATACATACATACACAAACACAAAAAAGCACACATACATTTATTACATAAATACAAATA